CAGACGATGAACACTATTAACATAATTTCATAATGATTTTTTTCTTCTCAAGCCTTGTCTGTGGTGTAAAAGCACCCCTGGCCAAATGCCCCCAGAGGGCATCACTACCCACTGTGATAATTACTGTAGTTACCATGTTCTGAACATCACATCCTTTCTTTTTCCCTCAGATGTAATCTATCTAGGTGGTTGAATAAAAATATTTGGACTTTATATCTAAAAATTACCTCAACTTAGCACCAGCAAGCTTGTTAGCTAGACAGTTAGCATCAGCTAACAATATTTACTTATTTTCAGTATGGTTATGAATAAACATTCATATCTGTCTACTCGGCTAGTTAATCCAAACAATATAAAAATGTATACTGTTGATAAACAATATAAAAACAGACGTCACATAGGGCTAAATGTGTAGCATTTGAACAAAACCTAACGTTACGGCAGCGGTGAATATGAACGTGCATGAGTTATTTTATTCAGTCTGTGTTATTTTAATGTTTCGGGGTTTTTTAACCTAAAACATAGAGACTCTGTGTCTTCATTCAAGCATTTCAGTGGGCTTAAATAGATCACCCTTTACAGCAGATTTAGTTCACAAACAACTGACAGTTTTGACCTAAATATGATTTTCAGTTACAATAATTGATCCTAAAATTCAACATTAGTAACTTAATTTTAACAGCATCTGACTAGATCTCCCGGTTCTACTTTTAGCAGCATCAGTCGCGCGCGCTCACAAGATCTCCCAGTTCTTACTTGTGAATTCAGTTTACTGGAGACTCGCACTAAACGGTTCATCTGAATCAGCGAGTTGTCGACTTGAATATATTGTGTAATTCTATTATATATTATGCTATTTACTCAATATGGTATTATCTTAAAATATGATGAATGGTCATGAAAGTAATCAATATACTGATTAATATGCTTGAGTTATTCCAATACTGGATGTCCTAATGTAGAATGTAAGTCTGAGGGCCTATTCATTGAGCAATTGTCACGGGGCTGACGAGACATGAGACGTGTGGATCCATCTGCAAGCTTTTATTAAAGAGACGTGGTATAACAGGCAGGGTCGAACAATGGCAAACAGGTATATGGCGGGCAAAACACAAGAATAGTCCTAGGGCTAGCGTAGGTCACTGATCGGCAGACAGAATCACAGGGGCGAGACGAGAGGGAAAATCCAGGAACACAGGCAAAGATCAGAAACCGCGAAAACAGGCAAGGCAAGGCAAAACAAGGAAACCACAGGGACTCGGAATGGGGTACAGGCTAAACAATACTCAGCAGAGAATGGCAGTTTGAGTGGGTGTTATATAGTGAGTGAGGTGATAAGAAACAGCTGTGTGCAATGAGTGCAATCAGTGCAGTGTGCAAACCGTGCAATGAATGATGGGATATGTAGTCCGGGGTGCTATGCAACAGTTTGTGTTGTGCGAGAGTCAATGTAATGGAAAGTGTGACCTCTGGTGGTGAATGAACGGAAGTCCATGGACAGAATTTGTGACAGCAATACTGGTGGTTTCCATTGGATTGTACCAAGTGAACTTAAATAACCCAATGAACTCTGGGTTATTCCCAGAAGTTAACAGGAACATGTAAACATATTTGATGAATGTCTCATGTGACCACCTTATTGGCAGCAGAATGAAGGTGGCCGATCTGGCCAAATTCCACCATTAATAAAAATGGCCTTGGGAGTAAAAAAAGCTGATCTGGCAAATTCCACTGATAAGCATATCTGAGCACATGAGGTCATATAAGATGTGACATCAGCACAAGTGCATTTTAGTCACCATAATGTCCTTGACTTGGACAGTCAGTGCTCCAGATTTAGTCATTGTGGCAAACCAGGTAGGCATAGCCAATAATAAAAACAGGAACTACCAACTTTGGTAAGAGAAAAGGGTATAAAATGGATGAGCTGACAGACAAATCACTTTACAGGATTTACCCTATTATACTTTATCGACACGAATTGATAGGAGAAACAACAAACAGCCACCCACAAATAGACTATAAACAAAGCATCCGGCTGTCTTTGAGTTCACATGAACAACGGTTAAAGTTACTCGTCGTCAGGCTATAGAAGAATACCATAATTCCTCCGTTCAATTAGGCCTTAGACATCGAGAGTCAACCCAGCCACAACACATAATTTCGAATAACATGCCTTACCTTAACACAGAATCGGCAACAGAATCCAACGTTTATGTGTTGGGCCAATATTTTGAGTTAACGTACTAAACATGAGTGGAATTTGCACCGCAGCGCCTTAGACATCGAGAGTCAACCCAGCCACAACACATAATTTCGAATAACATGCCTTACCTTAACACAGAATCGGCAACAGAATCCAACGTTTATGTGTTGGGCCAATATTTTGAGTTAACGTACTAAACATGAGTGGAATTTGCACCGCAGCGCCCCCACACCTTGATGCTCATGACAAGAATAGCATGTATAGTTATCTTTATGAATTAGGTTTAAATTTCCGTCATGCATGAATTTATATTTTTGCAATTTTACACATAATAATACACGATGATCACATTACACAAAACTGAAATTGCACGTCAAAATAACAAATTGTCAATATTTTTTGAGACCCCCCAAAATTTCACAAATCACGTTTTCAGGGGAGCCGAGCTCCCCCGTAGTTCACACCCTGAGTAAAAGTAAAAGTTACTCAAAATAAAACTACTCCAGTTAAGTACAGATACTTGAAAAATTTACTTAAGTACAGTAACGAAATAAAACTACTCCGTTACTGTCCACCACCACAGAGCGATCACACTAGTCAAACGAACCAGGCTTTGGGGGTCAAACGCACTTGGGCACGGTTAAGGTTGCCTAGTGTGAGTACACCCCTATTCTCCTGCATTCTCTCGCTCATACGAGTCTCGACCCGCCCTCACCCGCACATCAAGTGTTGTCCCGCGATAGTGCAGGTCTCTACTCGGAAGGTGCCTGTTATAATGTTATTATCGAGGCTCTGGACTCTGAGCATAACTTGTTTTTCTATAACAAACTATAAAATATTTTCTATAAAAACGTTAATGTCCTGGCAGTGGTAAATAGCTTGTTTTATATTTAATTTGATTACATTAATGATATAAGTTGAGATTTACAAGAAATATTTTAACTGCTAACTATGTAAAAGGAATACTGCTATAAAAAAGCACCTTATTTGTTTAAAGTGTTTGCAAACCAAATGTTATTGCACTTTTGTTCATATAGCAGTACTTTTAAATGAAAAAAGTGCTCAATTCACTACATTTGAATCAGTATACTGTATATATAGTTTAGAAAAATCTAAATTTTCCACATTACCACAAAACGTTTTCAACTCCACAGAGTAAATGCACTTTGGTACTTTGGTACTTCAAGGTAAACCTGAAAAGACAATGTGTACATGGCTATCTGGCTAAAACCTGAAAAGGACAAGACAGAAGAAACACAAAAATTACAAAATATAAACATTTTAAAACAAAGTCATTTTCAGGTTTACACCGAAGTAACATGCTTCAGAATTACTTTTTCAGCTGATGGACCATGAAAACATTGACAGCTAATTAGAACCATCCTGCTTTAGAGAGCTTGAGCATTTAATATTCAAATATCAAAATATCCCATGCAAAATAGTTTTCAGAAACAATATCTGCTTATCGTACCACACTATTAATTAATAGCTGCTCTGTTGATCTCATTATTACTTGACTAGGAGTCTCATTTTAAATTGAGATAAAACCAGTGAATCTGCAAATCTTTGTAAATCATTATACCATTTACAAAAGAAAATCATGACATGATTACACCACGTTACACCGTGTCAATATCAAATCATGTCCAACTTCAGCTGAAGTCTCCACACTTTATTGTCCTCCTTCGCCAGACCGCAAGCAAATGTGTTTGTTAAAACACTGTTGTAATGGCTAAACTAAAGGTATAAGTGAGTACAAAAAAAACTTGTTTAGAGCAACAGAAAATCTATTTAAATGGGTTTTTATTGGGGGGGGGGGGTCCCTTAAAGGGGAACAA